ACTGAGAGGGAAGCAAATTAGTGGTCCCAAGGAATTCTTAAAGCTGTTAGAGTTACTCCTTGCGTTGACTTTTATAAACAAGAGCTAGAAAGTAGACAACACTACGGAAACAGGATACATCTCAGTGTGCCAAATAAATAAGTTACCTTATTTGCGTTTGTTTGTTAGTTTGGTTATTTGGTCAGTCTTTTAAAGTAGTCAATTTTGATAAACTCATCCAAAACAAATTTAAGAAGAAACAAGAGGAGGCGCTTACCTGTCATTTTCAATATGAAATATTACTAAAACCACTTACTTACAGCCGTGCAAGAAATAAACTGACCTTGCTGGATAGCCTGTGTACAGACCCTCCCCTCCCCTGAGGGGGTCCCTATCAATATTGGAATTCTCCTGGTCTGGCCAGTCAGTTTTGACAAATGGTAAACTCCCTCAGTCTCTGACCAACTGCAAAAATAAGTTTACCTTGAAAAAAAATTTTCCGTCCCTAAAAATAATGAATTAAAGTAGAATTCGTAACTTTGGTATCTTTTATTCAGTTTTATTCTTACTCTACTGTTAGCTTTCTTGGTATGGTTGCATAAAACCCAACGCCAGAAACATTTCCATTTTGCTATTCCGGGGGGTAGGGGTGGGGTAGAAAGCTGGCTGGAAGAGCTGGGAAGTCGCCGAACCGGTTGCATGAGACAGAAAGTGTTGGTCAGACAGCGTGGAGGCCTTATGCGCCTACTGGCGCGATGAGACGTGATGATGATGAATCCTTTCAATTAAGCACATGAAAAGATCGACAATTGAATCAATTAAGTCCGACACATCTAATTTGGGTGGACCCATGAATTAAGATTGTGTGGCCCACATGGGAATTGCGACTGTGGAGCGACTTCATTTCAAACGTCGAACTTTTCATTTTCTATTTCAGTCAAACGTCTACAATTCAATTTTTGCCTGGGATTTAGCTGCTGTTCGTATTATCGGGGTGTGATAATACGGCAAGAGTTGACTGTAACAAGTTTATAGGATCTAATGTTTTCTCTACCTTAACTACGGAAAATAAAACAAAAACGGAATCGTGTGTGCGGCTATGTTTAATTAAGTATTCTTTTGGTCACTGACTAAACAAGTGTTGAGTCCTCAAATGTAATAAATGACCCTAAATGTAATAAAGGTCCTAAGTGTGATAACTTTTGGCCCTAAATGTAATAAAGGTCCTAAGTGTAATAACTTTTGACCCTAAATGTAATAAAAGTCCTAAGTGTAATTCTTTCAGCTCTTTATATATTTAGGGTCATAAGAAGATTTCATACCGTTTGCTTTTAGCCTTATTACAGGTTAACTGAGCGCGAGAATGTGTCTAGGGAATATCAAACACTAAATACCCCAGACATATCCCCTATATAGCCATTTGAGAAACAACTTATTATTCAGTTATTGATATCATTATAACTGTTATTTTTATTGTCATTATTAACTGAAAAGAATGTTTAATCGAAGTGAATTGTAAATAGTCCTTTGACCGAATATAGTAATTAATTGTAAATAGGTTTTAATAGTTAGCATTGTTATCAATAATACTTCTTTAACGACAACTTGAAAACAGAGATCCATGATATGAAGCAATTTTTTTAAGAACTCTTTAATGTCAAAAAAGGACTGACGTATCTTAAAACTTATGTAACAAAACAAAAAAGCCTTGTTCATTATAGCAAATTTTCTCAAGAAACTGTAACTTCATCCACTGGATTGAACTAAAAAATCTGTTTCATAGGCAAAGGCAGCCTGTAGTGTAACTATAAAGATATACTGCCCTTAATATCTTGCTTTTTATATATAACTTCGTGTTCACAGCATTCTGTATGGACCGACCGACATACCCTTTTGGAAAATGATAAAAAACAATTTTCTTTTTTTGACGCAACATTAAAAAACCCCATAGGCAAAAGTATTTAATTTACTACGATTGTTTCTAATGAACATTAATACTTCCTTCAATTACTAAATTAGTACTGTATTTTGAAAACTGTCGTGTAGATTCCATCTGTCTATAACTCGCGTCTCACGATGTAGGGATGTAGTAGGAAACACGATCGAGACATAGTTAATTTATATGTGTTTCTCCTACTTCTTGAGCGCTCTAGCCGCTTTCTAAGTTAATGAATATCTATGAAGACTACAATAGGGCAAAGAAAGTGAATCGCCAGCTGGCTATAACATTAATATCGCATCAGATCGTCGCATGTTTCAGTCAGGGACCTTATCAAGTTTGGGGCTGTTATACTACATACATGTATACTGTTAAGACTTCCATTATATTAAGGGCTAGAACCTATTACACATATAATTAGACCCTTTATTACATTTAGGGCCAAAAGTTATTACATTTAGGACCTTTATTACATTTAGGGCCAAAAGTTATTACACTTAGGACCTTTATTACATTTAGGGTCATTTATTACATTTGAGGCCTCAACATTAATGAGTTTTCTTAGGAATGTTTGGTAAATTATTATTGTGGCTGTAGCGACACTGCAGGAAAAGAATTTAATAGTTTAAACTGAAAAAGAGCTGCCCTTATTTGACTCTGAGCATCTCGTTTCTGCATCATTGAGGGCTTAAGTTTTTAAACCGGCGCTACACTGATTTATTTGAAAATAATGCAAAAATTACTTTTATTGAGATCTAACTAGAATAATGTGTTGTTAGAAACAATGAGAGCGATCAGGTCTCTTTTAATATGCGGCATGTTTTTAATGTTTTGTCTCTCTTAATCTCACCGATATTGGGTCGGTCTTTCTATATCTCTGTTTTGTAGGGAACTTTTAAGAGACCTTTAAAATATTTGACCAAACTAAAATACGACCTGGTAATTCAGTTTTCGGCGAGAAGGACGTACAAATCAAAGTTTTTATAAGACTTGTTTTTATGAGACTTATGAGCGATACATGAACAACTTTGGTTTAGAATCTAAAGGCCGTTGATTGCTTAACTCAAAGTATCACATTAACCTACATTCTAAGACAACGAGAACACAAAGTAAGTTATTTTGTTTGAAAGAGATTCAGTTGAATAACCAGCCAAATTTGTTTAGACACAAATGGAAAGTTCTCTTTTAATTTCATCGATGTTGGGTCATTCTTTAAACAATTATTATTTTTTATTTCTGTTTTGCAAGGAACATACTTTCAAAAACATAAAGAACAGCCCGTTATAGTATTTGCAGATCGATGATAGTCGACGATATAATTTAACTCAAAGCATCTCACATTTATCAGACTTATAGCAGAAAATCGCTTTCTTTTCGAAAAGATTAGCCAGATGTTATTCTACCGAGTCAATGATGAGAAAATAAACTTGATCGAACAAAGGCATTAAAAACGATCATAAATCATTTTGATCAAACCAAAAACAAGACCTTGTGGTTTAAATTGTCTACGTTTAAATAAAGTCCATGATAGGATCTACACGTAGATAATTCACCAGGGCGGATAAAGGTTGGGCGGTGAAACGAGCGCGTCCGAGCAAAAAGGTGTGATGCAGTGGACTGGGACTCTGCTTAGAAATGTCGTTTGTTTTCGACTTCGGTCAGGGCTTGTGATGTGGTTTCTCCATTAGACACCGCCGCTGTCACTGAATTATGGCGGCTTGATTTGTTTTCTTGCACTTCTTCCTCTTCCCTTTGTGCTGGTACGCTGTCTCCGAGAGGCAAAAGTTGCTATTTTTGCGGGAGGTTTAGTTGGAGTAGACAAACATCTCTTTCAAAGGGTTTCTCTGATTACTTCCATGACTTTACCACTGAATTATATTTTCGTTCTACTACTCGCCAATGTCGATGTTATTCCAAAACAAAAACAACTAAGCGCTGTCTAAAACACGAAGGAAAATGTCATCTATGGCAAAACTAAAAGACAGCAGATCGTGTGATAAACTAGATGACGTGTATTTTATATTAAAATGCGTGCAGCTCGTGCAAGGTGAAATTATGCAAATTTCAATCACCATTATATTTCTTTTTAATTTTGAAAAAAACATCTCATACGTCTTTCTGTTTCTTCGAAACTTCAAAATTAGTTTCCCCTCAGTTTTTACTGTTTACCTTGTTTTGTTTTAGAGAGAAGAACGGAGAAAAAACCTTACAACTAACCTTAATAAATTTTGTTTACACGCGGTTGCCGGATTTGCGACGCATTGCGCGAATCGCCATGGCGCGTTGCACCCGAGAAGCAAAGTTTGAAGCAGTACATCGCCACTATATTAAAATATATCAATCTAATTTTTTGTTATGTTATATAAAATTTATCCCCCTTTAACATATGTAAAAATTGAGGTTAAAAAGTGTTAAGCTTTTGCAAACGAAACGGCGAAAGACGATTAGGTGTTATTTAGTGGAAGGAGGAGGTATTCAACACTTTCAAATTAAACTCAAATTTTGGCATTATACAACCAACAAGTTTGACTTATAGGTATACAGACAAAAACATATGAAACTGTTTATTGATATTGTTATGAAACGAATTTATCTATTTAACATTATAGCCTGAAATTACAGAAAGAAAATGGGATTTCCGGTTTGCAAAAAAGAAAATTTCGCCGACCTTCAAGCGCACCGGAAGCGCGGAAAGAGCGCTCGTGCCAGTCCTACTCCGCATCACACATTAAATGAAGAGCGGAGCGCTCGTTTCACCGCCTTCACCTTCACGGTATGCGGTACCGTTCATTTGCAAAGAATATGCAACATAAAACACAGCAAACCCATACAGGATAATAAAAGTTACTTAATATTTTTAAGTCCTTAGATAAAATGGTAAATGATTATATTATACACAAATTTCTCACGGTTAATCTACAATGGAATCGTTGTTGCATTTAATGACCGGACATTTCAATCGTTGTACCGATAAACTCTAGGTCTTCTCACTTTCTCTGGCAATGGTTGAGGTTGATTTCTGGTGCATACATGCTTGAGCTAATCAAACACGCGAGATGGACACAACTTTACTTAAGCATGA